AGCAATGTCATCCACGTATCCATTATCGGTTTGATGTCGGCGGACGCCGTGTGAGACAATGTCTCTCCTTATGCCCAAAGTTAGTGCTGGCCAGAAGCAAGCAATTGTCAGAGAAAAACTGCAACAGACGACCACCTTTGTCGGTTCGTAGGCATAGTATTCTATAAATACCTCCAAAATCCTTCCCTACTTGAGCGTTAAATTCACCTGGCATTATAACTACATCTGGACGTTTTGCTTTCTATAGTAAATTTGACAGCGTATAGAATTCGTCTTTTGTATCATCCGAACTACAGTCGGTGGATACATAGGCGGTGATTACGAATAGGCATCGGTTGGTTTCACTACCCTCCCTAGTCCTTACAGATCCAGTCAGTCGAACAGCACAAAGACGGTTTTTTTACCAGTATCTAGTCAAGAAGCGCACTCTGCCCTACGACTCAGTGCTATCCCTATACCAGTGAGTGCACCATTGAGTCTTCGGATACTCTTAAAGTGAATTTTGAAAACTCACCACTACGGCCAGGTGAGGTCGACTTAATAACCGCACTCGGGTAGTGTATACGCGTCTCAGAGACACAGCATACATACATGGCAAGAGATTCCAGAATTTCGGTGAGCGATGCTTGCTGTCCGATTTGGCATAGAGTCTGGACGTTGAAAGCTTCTACATGAAATTGATAGTGGGGTCTTAGGAGACTAGGAATGAGGTATCGATGACTTTGATCGTTGACAATGGTTGCAGATTGAGAGGTTGGATAAGGCGTAAGAGGTTCAATACTAATATCAGAAGGCGGGTGCGAAGGTAAAGGAGGAGACACAGTTGAGGAGGACAAGTTATGTGTGACTCGGTTTTGTGTACTACTGGAAGGGTACGGATAGATGACACTTCCTGGCTGCCCACACCGTGGAAGGTTTTTTTTCAAGGTACCTGAAAAGAAAAAGATTTTTGTGACCGCAGAGCCCAGAAGATATCTGCTTGAGGCAGGTCACATACGGCCTTTTTGATGCCACGACAACTGGCTTGTAGAATAGGAGATATGGTTGGACACACGCCCTACGGTTTCGGATTACCAATAACCACTGATGACTAATCTAAGCCATCGCAGTGCGTCTTCTCATCGTTTAAGAACATGTTACGGTAACTGCTTTTTGTCTAACTACTATCCAACAGACCTTTCTGGTATAGTAGGACCTCGAGGGAAAAAGCATTCCACCAGCATAGCTTGTTGGGTTATCGTGATACACAAGTCCAACCACCACATCAAGGTAGCAGCTATAGGTCAAGCTTCAGAATCAATGGACCCACGTAAATGCATAATCGGGAGCGAAAACAACTCAGACGTAAACTGATGCGAAGTCTTCGCAGTGAACATGAGTAGTGGTGGGTAGCGAAGGATAAGATGGTAAACGTAGTGGCGATAAGTAGGCATATTTAGAATTATCACGAACACCAAGACAAAAACATCAATGGTTAGAGAGACTAATCAAAAAGGATGGATTTGTGATTCACTCGCAAGAAGAACAAATAGAATGACGGTTGGAACACTTCGAGGAACAGTCTAACTAGTCTCTACCTACTGTTCCGTTGCCAGCTGTCAAATCGGATGCCGAATGGAAAATCCAGACAGGACCCCCAATACTTGCAGGAGTTGGGAAAGCGGTAAGTAGTCTGAAATGAGGAAGGGTAGCAGGGCCAGATAGACTAGTTTCAGAGGTATTTAAGGACGGTAGCAGAGAATTATTGGTCAGGCCAACTGGAATGTTAGCTAGTGAGTGGGAATCAGATACGATCCCCACTGATTGGTCTCAATCACTGGTTGTTCGTCTTAAAAAAGAGGAGAAATCCTTCGGGATAACTACGCGGGAATTGGCCTGACAATTATAGTGTCTAGGTCCCATCACCAATAGACGTCTAAGTGAAGCTGGAAAACAGCAAACCCGAAAAAAAAAGGTAGGTTTCAGACCCGGCTGTATGTCGACTAGATATTCACCCTCCGCCAGGTTCTGCAACACAGACACTTAACGACGCCCAACACTGGATATTTTTTTAATGAAGGCGGCACTTGACTCCCTCGATAGAGAAGTCTTACGGTAGTGTCCCACACAGAAATGGGGGGGTCGGATGAATACTTCGCTTTGTTGAAGGCTCTGTGCTCGAAACCCTTATGGTGTTATTAGATGAGCTGAGTCCATCAAGGATGTTTACCCTTCCCACTCTTGTTCAACTTTATCAGAGACAAAAGTGTATGAGGGAAAAGTAGCTATAAAAGGTAATTACATCCATGAAAATTTTCTGCATTGTGAAGAGAAGCAATTTGTTATAAATATATCTGTAATGAATGCTTTTGTGCAAACATTCATTACAAATATATTTACCCTAAATATAAAAAGAAAGCTGATAAAAATATCCGAACTGTCGAAAATGTTAAAGAGTTAATACTCTACCACTGTAACCGATTTTTAGCCATGTCACCAATAGTCACCGACCATTGATTCCTATTATCTCAAGGATACCAGCCAAACAGTACACTTACCAGCAATGGTTCAAACCAAATTATAAACCTCATGGACTGGTGTCATGCATTGGTTCGATCACCGAGTCGATTTGCAACCCAACGCTACTTCAACCAACGTTGTTCGTCGAGGCAGGCGGTAGCTAAGCATGCACAGCACATGTCAAAAGCCTTTTCAGTCGATGAAATTTCCAAACCTCATCGACTAACTTCGGTCCTTCGCACGTGAGCTATACTGTGAAAACAAATGATCAGAAACCTATGCTCTCTTCAGATCATTTCAGTGACCAAGTATGACAAGTTTATGACGCAACAGAGCACACCGCGGAGCAGGATGCCAGTCCTATAATACACACCCCTATATTTTTTTTATCAGCGTCAGAGATGTAAATCGGCAAGTGCCAAACGCGTTTTATACATGATGTGAAATGCCGAAAAGAATTACATGAGGGTTATAGGTTTCTGACCATGGATGTCTTCACAGTGGACCAAAGGGTACTACATAAGTCAGTCGATATGCGTTGGTCGAAGCATGGGTGATCGAACCAACCTATAACACCAGTTCATGAGGCCTGTGACTGTTGATCTGAACCAATGTTGGTAAGTGTACTATTTCTATGGGGTTCTCGAGACAACAGGAATCAACGGTTGGGGACACTTTATGATGTGTCTAAGAATCTATCCCAATGACGTCTTCCAACACCTCCAACAACCATCATTCTCTTCTCTAGTAGCTTACACACTTTTATCTGCTTTGATACGATTCTTTTTCCGTTCACTTATTCATTTAAGCTACTATGACACGTGATAATATGAACTAATGCACGATTGTTCCAGATTGCATGATTTGTCTTAGTATCTGGCAACATATTACAACAGCGAACGAAGCCCATCTAACCATAATCTGAACCCAGAGCAGTTGCTTCTTTCATCCCCACCATTCGTCACGAAAATTATCTTCAATGCATTTTATATGGCCACCGATTATAACTAGCAAAACACCGTTTCGGTGTTCATATGACTGCTTCTTTCAAATAGAAGTTTTTATCATCCGAACTTAATGTCAGTTCGAACTACAAGTGTCACTTGCCACACTTTTATGCACTTCACACCGCAGATGTAAGCTGTGTGAGATGCAAACATAGACTTCAAGTATGGGTATTCATTTAGCCTTATTGGTGTGTTTATACTGAGGAATCCACCTGATTGTCGTGACATTCAATAGTTAAGTCGAATGAACTAACTAGCATAGGGATAGTATTACGTTTTTCAAAACAATCTACCTCTCGACTGTCTACCTATTTACATTCGTCTGTGTTCTGTTCGACTAATTTATTCTGCAGGAGCTATAAAGCATCATGACACTGACGCATACCTGTAGTCTCCACTTATATGCTCATCTAAAACAGTTCAGTTGAATCTTATCAAAAGCTGCCTATTTAACCACAAACGCAAATACGGTAATGCTAGTAAGACTTCAACGGTCAGGTAGAGAACCTAAGCCGATTACAAAGCATCTTCGGGTACCTACGGGAACCGGACAAAGTGAAAACAATGATTGTCTGTCACGACAATCACGTCCTTGATCAGCACGGACTGGGCATGTAAGGATATTGCCTCAATTGGAAATTGATCACTTTAGACCAATAACTGAAAAAGACGTAATGCATTAGAAAAATTCAAAGTTTTAAGAAATCGAAGAATCACAACTCCGACTACACACTAACTGATAGAGAGATTACCGACTCATAAGTCACCAGAGGACTTTAAATAGAACCATCATTTGAATTTACATTTCACGACACCACCCAAAAAGTGAACGGAAAAAGATTGATTTTTTTAGCCAAAAAGGGTGTATTGCATAAAAAGGAATAAATAAATAAGAATAAAGTTTTCGGAATTTTGACAGGAAAATATCTGCAACTGCGCCAACATGGCAGATTCTGAGCAAATTCTTCATCTCTTCACTATTTTCATATCAAAGGAATGAAGTTTTGAGAGGCGTAATTGATTTACACCGGTAATGAATCTCTGTAGATTTTGGCTCAGATCTCGATACCCAAACTCAATCTGCATTCACTCATATGAATACAAGGCAAGAGATCTACAGCAACTATATTCCTGCGTATTACTTCTTTGAAATAACCTTCACACATGTTCATCTAACTCGTTCTAATTTCCTAAACATAGAAACACAAGACAACACACGCAGATGGCTATATGGTACTTCCACATGTGTCAAGCTACGCCCTGCAGAAGTTGTTACACTTCACCGTCCTCCAAAACTCAGTCATTATGCCTGAAGTTAAGGATAGCTTTCGTTTACCTCAAAAAATTATATAACACTCAGGAAGGCTATACTTCCATTCGCACTCCAATTAACTGCTTGATTAGCTCATATATGGGAGGGTTCTAATGTTTATTGGGAACAGGAGCCAAAGTGACTAGATACAGAAATAAAACATGGAATATCCCCCAAAATACCTCATCACCCGGTCATTTTTAGATACCGCGCGGCTACATTCTGTTCAAAAATGCAACTAAACCAAACCAAAGATCAATATCTTGGGAATTTGTATAAACCAGATTATTTCTTCATGCTTACCTTCCTCATCTTACGAAACGATTACTGATATTTGATGAATGTTAAGGCAGTCGCTCTAACCAGCCAACTATTGTTACTCTGAGAGACCTGAATAGTGGCCAGAGCTGATTACACTTTCACTTTAAGGGATGGGTAATATGTCCCTGATGCTGTAACACAGACTCAGCCTCTAAATATCACTTCGCCAGAGGGCTGTCCCTAACCCTAGAGAGGGATAAAAGGATTTACTAGATATTCCAAAAAGCAAGCAATTGAAGTAAAACCTAAAATTATATCCATGGAAACACGAATATTGTGACAGCAAGGATTTGAAAAAGAAGGTATTTATGGAATTTAGTAACAGAATGCTAAAAAAGAAGTTGAAACTGTGACGTGGATGGGGAATTTCCTAAAGGCATTGACATCATGGATGATAAGCTAATTGGAAAGGTGAGGCCTTGAGTAGAAGGAGAGATTTGTAGCATCATACACTCCTCTAAAATCAATAGCCTAGGTTGGATTAGATTCAATATTGGTTCTGACCTTCATAGCTTAACTGTATTCGCTAAGCTGAAGGCACACGGTCAAGCACCCTAGCCATTTGGCACGCTGTCGTGTTACATTGCACTGCTCGTATTTGACCCTGTGGCCAGTTAGTTGGAACGCATCAGTGTCTTTGCACGACCACGTAAACATACCACTGCATCCAACCGCGCTATTTTGTTCCTCCTTGGCCTCGTATTCGTGGGTATATAACAAGTACGGACAATTAGAGATTTGCCTCTGCGTCTGTCAAGTCCGCATCAGGACAATTCCTTAAGGTCCATTGGGTCGTCATAAAAGTGATGAGCGCTGAGTCTTATGGATAAGTGGTAGAATCAAAAGACGGCCAGTATTAACGTAGCAGAAAATGAGGAACTTGCAGTGCCCAGTAAACTTGGTTGTGATTTCTATCTGTTGTAAACTTTATATTCACTGTGGACTGTGGCTGACTGGTGAATAACTTTTAATGTACTCGTTGAATTTCGCCCGTTTGACCTGGCCAACATAGTGCTTGTAATAAACACGTCGTACTTCCACCTCTGCTTTCTTGTTTGCTACATTGTGTTGTCTAAAGTAAATCGCTTGTAGCGTTAGTCATAATCCCCCGGGTCCGACCAACTAACTTCATTCCAAGTACGTTACTCAGCTTAGTTCTAATCGCAACCTGATGAGTACAATTCACAAATCACTACGCAAATTTGCCAATATTTTCGATGCTACCGGGGGTTGGAGGGTAGGGCAGTCATTATCTCACTTAGTGTTGTGTTCTTTTGGCGGGAGTACGGATTTTCTTAGAGTGCAACCTTTACCTCCCAAGCGAAGAAAGCCGCAAATTAAAACTCCATCAACGTGTCATGGTTAAACTTCCGATGCGAAGTTTGCACACAGTTATGCGTTCTTATTTTGCTGTTATTTCATGAGAAATTACAGCCGGTGATCACACCAACAGTTGTGATATTTAAGCAATCCACAGTTCAAAAACTCTCCATTCATATGGTTGGAACCCCACTGCCTCTTATCATTGACTAGAATCTAACCTCGCATCAGGTAACATTCCTTCTTGAAAGCAAACTGAAGATCTTGGTACTGTGTAGAATCCGGGAAAAACCCAGGGCCAAATTGTGTAATTTTCATGGACCAAACGCCGTTGTCAAGAAACTAACCTGGAGGTGATAAAAACCTCGAGGGAATAAAAATATAGATCGAGTTGCCTTGCTAATGACCACAAAACGGGGGTGACCGAGGCAGTAACACAAAATACAGAAACTATCGGGTAAGTTATACAAGTAAAACTAGGGCGAGTCACCTGAGCTAATACACCTGTGGAAAGTGCCAGTGAATAATCAATCGTAATCCCCTTTTTAGGAGAAATGATAAGATTCGGTGGGCTTAATTCTTCAAAGTTCTGTTCTAGAGGCATCGGCAGGATCGTCCCCGCAGGCATTTGTGTTGAGAAGTTGATCTATGAACAGTTTGACGGACTGCGGATGAAAGCACTCAGTCAATGACTTTGGCGCGCTATTATGCATTTTCCGAACTGAAAGGGATAAGGCTTTGGCTAAACTAAAATCCTAAAAATGAAATGGAGAGAAAGAGAAAGGATCTGAACGTTTTGATAGCCTAGTATTGCAAATGAACGATACCAGCTTCCTTCTCGACAGGCCAGGAGACAAATGCGAGGTATTCACAAGTGCCGTTAACATTTGACTTTCGATTCAAGGGCTTGGGGATCTCCAGGCGCCCTGATTGTTGCCACATATCCACGTGCTTCTGACAGTTAGAACTTGTCCTAGTCACCGGGAGATCAGCGTTTACACAAATAAGAAACCAAGGGTTGTAAGTGGCATTGCTTTGTGCTCCTCATTTTTAATAGATTCCAGATATCTTTGGGCGATCGTATGACAATTTAGATGTGTAGTTGAGCTACCTCCCGTGTGCTCACTCTCTGTGAGTTGGTGGTCTGCAGTAGTGCTAACTTGCCTATGCGAAACAGAGAGTGGGCTGAGGAAAATACCAGCACCGCCTTATTTTAGGCGATCCGCGTAACCTCGTTTGGACCGTATTTGAATGTCTGTTTCAAAATATACCAACAAGCTTAGTGACAGGTGTTCCACCAGGGATAAATCTAGTCCTGTAATCCCGTTCCCATTATGTATCGTTAGACATCCATCTCTTTTATTTGAGGCAAAGGCCTTTAACGTGACTTAAGACGAGGCCAAACCCTGTTCAGTGCCTCGACACTTAGGGACCACGGCTATCAGAAGACGTGTTCAATTTTCGGACTTATGATTTGGTGCCAAATTTACTGTTCAAAAAGTATGGGTCAGTTTCAACAAGATGCTTGGGGTTGTAGTGGTAAATTTTATCCTATGGTCGATTCATGGTAAACCACCAAAGCTGTTATCCGTCGGCATATGACTGTGCAAAGAAACTTCTCCCGTCCAAAAGGAAGTCGTGGAATGTTTTCTTTCACTGGTGCTGAATGGTCTGGGCCATGAGACTGTGAACACAGGATTTCTTACATAGCTGCGATAAAAAGATGAAAGGAAAACAAGCTTTCTTCAAAATAGCCAACACAGGATCTCTCTAACCTTCTCATGGGATACGATGTACTGACTGTGATGCCTGATATTTGGAAAGCCATTCACTGAAATCCAAATTTGCACCGGACAGCATGCAGGGAAGATGAAACTACCCTCAAATAGTACTGTAGAACTGGAAACCTAACGACTTCCAGCCACAAATTCGACATGGATTAGTTAATATAATGATAAAAATAATCACCTTATTCCAAACAACTTTTGGCAAGACCTGGAATTTACAGCATGTTATATTCCAAAGACAATGCATGCTTCCCTAGAACCATTCGAATCGTGTACATGTAGCGGTAGCTTAGGAACGATTAACCAGGAACAATAGAAAAAAGTAAGATGCAGGAATTATTAGACCGTAAAAGCCGAGGCCCAGTTGTACCAGAGGTTCTCAGTTTCTTTACGCATTACGTTGAGCAAAAGACGTCTCTGGAAGTCGGAAGGCTATGAGATGGCCCACAAAAAGCAGAAGAAAAATTCGATTAAACATCGTTAACATTCGATTCACCTTTCAGAACAATACCAACAGTTTGAAGGAGTCGTGGAGCCCGAGCATCACACACAAGTCTTGTTTACGCCTGAGGCTGAAATTAACGGCCTGACATCTAGAAGGGTTGGGCTTGAGGTCATCTGAGAAATATCGCCGGTCGACTGTGAGCAAGAACTCTTTTGGCTGAGAGCAGTATGAGAGTTGCCTGGCACAAACACCGTAGGATCATTACTGTACTCAATAAAACTAGTTTCTGCAAAAATGGGATAAACATTGCAAAAAGAAAGAAGACAGAAACGGAAGAAGTATTGCACCTTGAAGATTCACCAAGTAATTAAGTGGAGCTCTTCCTTTTACAAACAATACACCATTTTCGTTTCATAAAAGTTAGAGTGCGGTCACTTTGTAACCCAAGGCTCAGTATGGGCAAAAGGCAAGCCCATTCAGCAGCAGTGGTCTAGGAACAGGGTCAAAGGTTTATATGTAATCCAAGACAGCAAAGTGAACATATCACCCTCGTCCAGAATAGAAGCAATATTACGGCGCAAGGTAGTTTCAGCATCCTAAGCACCTCTACTGCGTTTGTAGGTAAGCAGTTTCGAACCCTTTAAAGCCTTCAAGGAGCTGCAAGAAAAAGTAGAAATACTTTCCCCACTTTCTTCAAAAGGGGAAAGTTCCAGCGATGGGTCAAAAGTCACGGCCTGATCCAGAAGGCGACTTAAACATGCGTATAACTTTACCCTCAAGCAACCAGTTCTGAATTATTCAAAGATTATTTTCACATCATACCGAATCCTAATCTACTAGTGTAGTACATGCAGGTAACACGTACACATTCATCACACCTAAAGTATACGTACACGCAAATTGAGTTTCTTATTTAGATTCCCTTTTCACATGTAAGCACCCATTCATATGTTCACAGAAATTCGCATCTTCAGGCGGAACTCACGCACCAATAACGGCGACGTTTAATCTCGCATTGTTGTCACTTTTGCACAATATGAGCTGGTTTGTCTGCACGTTCTATTCGGACATGTGAATTAGTTTCCATGGGGTCACAAAACGTAACTGGGTTTTTACGAATATATTTCCCTTTCTAAAGCAGTCTGCTTTAGATTCTGCTCACTGTCTTCTTTGTGCATCGGCGGAAAATCCCGCTTGAGTGAAGTAACCTTACATCTATTTCCTGACAAAGGTCCAACAAGTTAGGTGGCAGAAAAACTTTCTGCATCGAAACCCTGTTGTAGACTTTCAACCAGACACCTTCAGAGGTCTGCA